CATGTTCCTTTGTCAAAGAGGTTCAGTAATGGATGGGTAGAAATCTTTAATATCCAGTTGGGTGAATGCACAGTTATGCATGTCTTATGTTACAGAATCAGTCTATTACTGATCTTGTGTTTTCTTATTGATTTAGATCTAAAGTTGTTTTTAGTTCAGAGTTAACTGCTTCTAACAATAATTTCACTTATTTTTCTTATTTCGCTTTTTGTTGGGTTAATAAATCTGAATATTGAGCTACTTCTGAAGTTTTCTTTATGGTCTTTTAGTGTAATAAATGCTTGAGATTCTGCAATGCAGCATATACAATCACCTAGGTCAAGGTTGGTGTAATTTCTCTTTATCTACAAATTTCTGATTACAAGATCTCTTCCATCATAAAAGATAGCAAATTTTAAACAATTATACATACATATAAGTCATCTACAGACAGATGACTTATATATATATATATATATATATATATATATATATATATATATCACAGCTCCTCAGTGTGGCTAGACATCCAATTGCTTCAAGCTGGAATCGAAACCTGACTGATTTGACATCAGTCAGATATCTCACCGCTATATATATATATATATATATATATATATATATATATATATATATATATATTGTGTAAGTGAAAAAAGTTCACTTTATTAAGAAATTTCAGCTTTAAACCAAAAAATATTTACCTACACATGTAGTAATATGAGGAGATGCTGAAAGATCTTTTCTCTTGGTACTATTGGTCATGACAAGAGTTGATAACCTTTTGCTACCTATGTGCCGACTTATGGTTTTAAAATCATTCAGTCTGCCAACAGCATACATATTTTCATACGAGTCAAGGTCAATATACCTGTTCTACAATATATTTAGTAGATATTTTAGTAATATATAGTACATATATATATGTATGTATGTATGTATGTATACTTTAGTATATATTAAAATTGAAAGAGCTAAATATCTTCTTTGCATTGTAGTAGTTATTGGTTTGGACTTCGTGATGTCATTTGTGTGTACCCTTGGCCTGCCACATATGGCATGTGTGCCATATGTTGGCCAACTTCTGGGTTATGAGATATGGTTTTGGAAATCTACAACTTTGTAAAAGTTGTAGATTTCCAGTGCCACCAGTTGATCATGTGATGAGTATTTACCAATGTGTAGTGGAATAAATTTTTAGATGTATTTAGTTGATTCCGGTCTTAAATGGTTAACTAATTCCAGATACTTTTTCTTGACTAGTCTTTGGTAGAGTTACTGCTACTTCATTTTTGTTTTCCAAGATATTTTACATTACACATTGTTGTAAAGCATGCACTTTTCATGGTGTTTAAAAAAAAAAAAAAAAAAAAAAAAAAATTAAAATATGATTTAGTATATTTTTTAGGGGAGGGACTTAATTCATGTGGAAGCCACACAAAATGACTAGCAAAACCATGTCAGTTCAAATTATTTTCAGTGATTGATTTGTATATTTTGAGGATGTTGGCTGTCCTCTGCATCATACGATGTTGATTAAGCTAATACCTTGATCTGATTGCTATCGACTTCAATGTACCATCTCCATAAACTCTTTGTGTCAGAGTTGCATTTCTACATTTTTTAAGAAAATAAAAAAAAAAAAAAAAAACAACCTATAAAAGAATGTTCATTTTCTCTCTGTTTCAATATCAGAATTAACCCCTCCTCCCCAAAAGAAACAAAAACATACAGATATGCCAAAAGTGATCTTTTTAATTAAAAATAAATTCTAATAATGATTTTGTCTTTGGTGGAGGTGGTCAACTTGTTCTTAACAAAATCAAAGACAATCTGAGCAGACAGGCAACATTAACAATTGAGATATTGTTTTCAAGAACAAGTACTTCTCTCTCTATTGTTTCTGAATCTATTCCCATGAAAGACTACCACAAATCCTTAGTAGAATGACTAAACCCTAACATTGCCACATGTTCACTGAACTGTACTTCAGTTAATTCAATATAAAATGTAGGTATAACATGTATAATATTTCAATCAAAAGATTTTCCTTTTGTTTTTAATATTTTTAAAAAGCTCATCTCATTACCAATTCTGACTTTTCTTTTGCAAATCCCTGAAAAGCACTATAAGTGTTCAATTTTTCCATTAGACCAGAAACAATTTTCTTTTCTTCCTAATCACAAAGTCATTGCTCATATGGTGAAGATGTGAATTCTTTAAAATATATAGCCTTCGTTCAAATCTGAGAAAGGACAAAATTTAGAAAACATTACATGGAAATCATTTTTTTTTTTCTTTTAAGAAGTGAATAGGGATGCGTGAGTATGAAGAGAGTTATTGACATAGAAAAGGTGGGGAGGGGGAGCAAAATCAACAAGCCAAGTTCAAATTCTGCCAGAGTCTTTCATACTAATACCCTTGGTAATAGTATGCATCCATTTCTTCTCTGTCCATCTCTAAGTTAACTGGATAGACATGGCTCTCTAGCCTTGAATGGTAGCCAGTCTAGGAAAACCAACACTGAATTGAAACCACAGATAAATCAACTGGAAACCAGTATCTTTCCTGAGAATTTATAGCTATTCACAGATAATAAATAAATAAGACTGTGGAGAATCTTTATTTTTTATGTCCTAAAATGACACCACATTAAAAACTATAAAGAAAATTACAATATTTTTTCCATGCATATGTACACTCATGAAACATTTTAGGATGATATTAAAATGTTACAATGGTGATTTTATAATTAATGATTACTTTATGAACCTTACTAACAGGAGATAAAAGGATGCATTTTGACAGATGTTATGGAAAAATAAGTTCAAAGTAACTGCAACACCAGGTGTGTGTGAGGGAATTGGAAGTAACTGCAAACCCAGAGATCAGGTCTGTGTGTGTGTGTGTGTGTGTGGTAGGAGTAAGCAACCCCAAAGATCAGGTGGAGAGCAGGAAAAGTAACTGCAACGCCCAAAATCAGGTAGAGAACGGGGAAGTAATTGCAACCCCAGACATCAGGTGGAGAGCGGGGAAGTAACTATGACCCCAGAGACCAGGCCAAGGGAGGCAATGGTAAATCTCAGTGTCAGGATTGGAGCAAATAAAGTGAGGCCCCAGGAACCAAGCCAGGGGAAGTAGCCACAATTCAAGAGAAGTAACTAGGACTCCCGGAACCAAGCAGGGGGGTGGGAGTAACTAGGACTCCCGGAACCAAGCAGGGGGGTGGGAGTAACTAGGACTCCCCGGAACCAAGCAGGGGGTGGGAGTAACTAGGACTCCCGGAACCAAGCAGGGGGTGGGAGTAACTAGGACTCCCGAACCAAGCAGGGGGGTGGGAGTAACTAGGACTCCCGGAACCAAGCAGGGGGGTGGGAGTAACTAGGACTCCCGGAACCAAGCAGGGGGGTGGGAGTAACTAGGAACCCGGAACCAAGCAGGGGGTGGGAACCTAGGACTCCGAACAAGCAGGGGGTGGGAGTAACTAGGACTCCCGGAACCAAGCAGGGGGGTGGAGTAACTAGGACTCCCGAACCAAGCAGGGGGTGGGAGTAACTGGGACTCCCCGAACCAAGCAGGGGGTGGGATCACTCAGGACTCCCAAAACCAAGCAGGGGGGTGGGAGTAACTAGGACTCCTGGAACCAAGCAGGAGGAGGGGGAGTAACTATGACTCCCGGAACCAAGCAGGAGGGGGGGGAGTAACTATGACTCCCGGAACCAAGAAGGACTGGAAGTAACTATGACTCCTGGAACCAAGCGGGGTGGGGGGGGTAACTATGACTTCAGGAACCAAGCAGGTAGGAAGTAAGTGACTGCTAGATAAAAAAAAAAAAAAAATTCAACAAAACCAAAGGCTGGTGGTGGAGGGGATGGGAGAAAAATGCAGCAAAGCAAAGATTACCAGGGAGAAAAAAAAATGCAGAGAAAGCATGTCATTTGTGGGAGGAACTAAGGAAGAACCCCAGGTTAGTGCAGGTGGATAAACAAGTGAAAGCAATGGTAGGGAAAAAAATATCTTGCTGGAAGAACTGAAGCTGTAAAACCTGAACATTAGTGTTGCACCTGTAATAATTAATGCTCTGGATCAAGGATACCAAGGATGGTGTAAAGGAAAATTTAAGGAAGTCAAGAATGCAGCATCTAGGGCTGAGGATACTTGCTATCACTTGAAACCACCTCCCCCTAAACAACTACAAGACATCTTGTGTGAACATGAAAAAGTATATTTTTATACAGATGTAAATGTAAATTTGGCATATGAAAGATGTAGGATTCATTTAACAACCTCATGTTTAAGATCGTACCATGGTTTTGAAAGAGTTTGAAACTGGTTTTTTTTTTTCTACAAATCATGTTTTGGACAAATCCTGCTACAAAATTCAAGCTTGATATAAAAAAAGAAAGAAAAAAAAAAAGAAGCAATTCAAAGATATGTGGTAAGTATAATGTTGATAATATAAAACTATTTTTCTAGTGTTAACCATAAAAATGTGAAAACAGCCTTTAAAACCATAAACATGAGAGGAAAATTATTATAGTGATTTGATCAAATGATTGTTCTCATCTTCACTGTTCAAGGCATATTTTGGCCATTGTACTTTCTGATGTTCTGCAGCTAAGTTAACATTTTTAAATTGAACCCTTTTCATTGCTTATGAGAGTAGAGATCATTCTGCTGTTCAGGCTTGGTAATATCTCCTTAGATAATTTGTCTTTTGTTAATTGGACAAATTATTCAATGGAACAAGTTGCAGAAACGGCATAACAAGGACATTGTTATGCAATTCCTACAACTTTTTCCATTGATACAGAGAATATAGATCCATTGTCTGACCCAGGAATTCAACTCACAGTAAATAGATAAAATACAATATTTAATCAACAGCTTGAACATATCAGTGTATAATGATAATTCCTTACATCATGAAAAAAAGATATTTTTCTTAGATTCCTACAAGATGGATTCCGAACATAGGGTAGAAATAAAAATGAAAGTAAAAATGACAGCAAGATACTTACCAAATACCACATCATACCCCACTTTGGATCATTGAAATTAATACTTCTTTTTACTCTCCGTTTCGCTACCTGCTGCTCAATCCATGTTACCTAATAAAGAAAGAAAAGTATAATATTGATACATGTTGAAAAGATAACACTTCATTTAAATTTCCATTTGAAGGAAACAGCATCTATATGCACCAAACATTCCCCTAAAGAGATAAATAGAAATAAAAATGAATACAAGACAAAAGCAGTGAATATGAAAAAAAACAATGCACTAAAAAATAAAAAGCAGTAATTCAAAGAAACACCTGTTAGGATATTAAAGTAGCTGTCAGTAAATGCTTAACTTGGATTAAAATAATATATGAAAGCTACTAAGAAAGAGCGAGGGTGGGGGTGGATTTACTGAATTTACAAAAATCTGATGCTGGCAGAAAAAAAAAAAGCATTGAACTGAAGCAGCAATTATAAATGTATTAATCAATAATGCTAAGATATCTGGCAGAGATCAGTTTCATTTAAACTCTTGCTCCTACAAGTAGATCTACATTATTCACAATTTATGAACCAATTTATTGCAGTACCAAAAATTTGGACTAGTATTATTATTATTATTATTATTATTATTTTTAATACTGTTTTTCTTCATTTTAGTAATACTTGGGTTGTTTTTACATTTGGTGATGGGTAACAAGCAGCATGGATCCAGATGTTTTGCTTCCGACAAGATTTTGTAGCAGTCATGGAAAGATGATCTCGGTTCTGTTTCTCTATTAAAGATCCTTTTACAAGTTTAAATTATTTCACAACAAAATATTAAACTACTTTGAATTAAAAGATTTTTTAAAAACTATATAACAATATTGTTACAGTTTAAATAGGCTCAAATGGATTTTCTTACTTGATTTGTTCTTGACCTCTTCCAGTTCTTGTTTAGCATTACAACTGTCCTGGCAATTTAGATGATGCTGTAGTGTCGATAAGTTTTTTAACTCCTATAGTCATTTCTTCATGCTTGGAATAAAGTTCCCAAATCCATTTTGTTCACCAAACAGCATAGCTTAAGTCAAACAATCTAACAGACGTGTCTTCTGCTTGGTACCACAATTGCACTACTTTGTCACTTCATCAAGCACTTTTTGTAGCTTGAGTGACAGGTCAAATTTGCATAGGTGCAAAAAAAGTGTCTCACAAGATGGATTCGACTGAGATCTATCATTTCTTAAATATGTGAAAGCCGACATTTTCTTTTTGGAATACATTATATATAAGGCACGTTTGAACCTGCTTTCTACCAGGAGGTAAGCCATTTTCTCTTGTGTTACCCCCGCCTTGATCTCCTGATCATATATGTGGTGGGGGGATGGATTTCCGATACTGTCATCCTCTGGGTCTGCAGGCAGACTTTCTGGCCCTGTTCTTAAGAACAACAAAGTCTCTAAGTCACTCTCAGATAATAGACTATTTTTGCCATCTTCTGAAACAGAAGATTCATACTGTGGTCACAGGCCTTTCACATGGCACAGCATTCTGTTAACCAATACTGTTTGGAGGCTATTTCCCCACTTGATACTGATTATTTACACTGTTACATGGCGGTAATGAGACATCTATCCTTTCACGTGCTGTTCGTACTGGTAAATTTCGTTGGTTGGTGCAGTTGGCAGTGTGGAGTCATCTTTTAGGTTCCCATTGTACCAGTACACAGCTTCCTGAAGAGAGTACCGTGTTTTGGCTGCAATTCATTTAATGGTGTAGTGACATCTCTCTACTATACCATTACCCTCTAGAACATAGGTACATTGGTATTGCACCTGCACTCCCCATTTGTCTACAAAGGCCTGAAAGTCTCGGTCACAAAAGGTTGGGGCACTGTCTGTCAATATCATGACAGTTGATGCATCCTGGCATGTCAGTAGATGCCAAACGATGAAACGCATCGGACCACAATATGTGAGCGTTAAGAAGTGTATGACATTGTAAAGTGTGATGACTACACCTAGCCACTACCAATTGCTACCCACTACAAGTGTCTCCTTTTGCCAATGGGGCTGGGTCTACCATCCGACACTCTTTGAAATCTTGCATTCCTGGCTGCCTTCATAATCAAGGGGCACACTCTTCAGACAAAGCTGTATGCAAAATGCCAGGATCTCCATTTTGATGGTGTATGGATCTGTTTGTTAATTTTAATACTTTGAAAACTAAACTACTCTGTTTTAATTGTCTTAGAAAATTTATTTTGCCTTCCATCAGCATGGCTGATGCTAACCTCCATTAGAGTAACTCATTGCACCTTCTCAGGCTAATGTTTTTATAGATATGAATTGGAGTGATTATATTGAGTTAAATACTAAGAAAGTTGGTTCACGGTTTTGTGCAAAACAATTTTTCTCATCTGAATTTGTCTTGCACCTTCACAAGTCTACCAGTTGTCTGTACACTGAATATTGCTGCCACATCTAGTTTGGTATTTCTGCTATGCATCTTCAGATTCTCAGAATCCAAAGAAGGTCTTGACTTGGCATCTCAGTACTAGATTGGCAGCTAGGTCTCATCATTTTACTATTGAAATTGGTAGTTGTAACAATAAGTTCTCTTCTAATAGTTTCTTCTTCCACATTTCTTATCTATGGAGCTCTTCCAATTTCTTACTTTCATGTCAACTACAATTTACAAAAAATTAAATGCAATGTCAATTGATTCCTTTTATTGTCCTTTCTACTCAGTAAAGCTTTCTCTGAATCCTTCAATCTATTCTCTTTCATCCTCAGTAACCCCTTGTGTCTTAGGGGTCTTTTGCCTTGCTTGAGGTGAAATGATAAGTACACACATCTACACATTCTGCCAACATAATTTATCAAATTAGAGTGGTCTAAATATCTTTCTGCCAGCAGTGACAACAGCAGCAAACAAGACTATCCTTGTGCTGCCTTTTTACAGATATTTATAAATTAAATGCTTTACATTTTAGAGAATATAAAAAAAAGCATTAAAATTAAAAAAAATCTTCACAAAAACAGATTTTTTTTCTTAAAGAGAGTTTACCTGAGAGTACAACTACAAATACAATAATTGGTCATTTAAGTTTGAAATGAGTGCAATTCTAATTCCTGTCATTTGATTTGACAGACTATTTACTTTTTAACTTGTATTGAATAAGTGTTTTTCTTTGTCTTATCTAGTTTTAATGCTTATGCTTTCATTCTAAATTGAATCTGGATATTACAGAAATCCTTGTTCATTTCAGATTTATTATGATTAAGAAAATGCAAGGAAAATATTTTGCAAAATCATGTTCTTGTTTTATTAAGATTGAGAAAATTAGAGTAAAAACATTTAAAAAAAAAAAAAAAAAAGAGGAAAAATTATTTCATGTAAGCTTAGTTATTGTAGAAAAAATTAAGATTTTCTATTTGACATTTTATAATTTGTCATAATTATCTAATCATTAGTTGAGTTCATTGTGCAATCTATAAATCTCTTAGCATGTCCCTTTCCAATAAATGTCCCGTAATTTCCAAGGTGTTCCCAGGTGGAGAGATGACTAAAGTTTGGCAGCTGATCTCTCCTCTGACCGAGTTCTAACAGTTTGGTGGGAGGGAAAAACTGGCTGGTCACATTCAATGCCTTGAAAACAAAACTAGTGACATTCTATCATTGAGCGAACTTTTACCAATCATAATGAATGGGCGTTCCCTCAGGCACCGTGTCACGAGTGCCTCTTGGGACCAACTCAGCCTGGACCTCAAGTGGAACTCATGTAACTGAAGATAATGGAAAAATGGTCAGTTCCCTGTACTGCCCCATTAAGTACCTAACTCCTCCCTTGACAAGATCCAGGTCAGGCTGAAAATGGAGTATTGCTGCCATATACCAGAGGGAGCTGCCCAGTCTTCACTTTCCAGTCTCAATAGTTCAGAAGTGTCTACAAATCCTTGTGGGTGACAAATTATTTTCCACCTTGCAATCACTTTCTCACATATGAAATGTTGCTAACTATTTCCATGGAAAGTATTCAGACGAACTATATTCTTTAGTTCCACCAGTTCTAACCTTTATAACTAAGACCTGCCATGCCATGGACATTATAGCAAACCACTCTCATTCTCTTTGTATTCCACTGGTGAAATGTAAGTTCTACTCAAGCAGCTCCTTCCCACAAATGGCTCTTTTGTGGAACTGACTCCCAAGTGGATGCTTCCCCAATTACTATACTCTTAAACCTGTGAATGTTAGTTTTTATGACTGATTCACTTAATGGCATAACAACTTCTTATGGGTCATTTAATGCTGAAATGTACTTTTCTTGGGAGCTTTCAAGTAATAAAAATATGATATGTTATCCTGCTTCCACAATTGGGTACATGGTAGATGATACACAGCTTTTGTGCATAGACATGTTTGGATGGGCATAATTATGAGAGGCCGTGATATGTGTGTTTCATGTAGCTTTGTTGAAGTTATATTTTGGAATACAGTTTGATTTCTTTAAGAAATTGTAGGATATTATATTGATTAAGGCCATGAAAGAGTTCTTTCATATTGGCTGTGGTATATCATTCTCTATTGAGTTATTTAATACTGAAATCTAAATATATTTTGAACGCAATTACATGCCTTCAACGAAATATATCTTGGACGCTATTGTATGCCTACAACTAAATATATTTTGAATGCACTTGTATGCCTTCAGCTACAGATAAAATGTATTTTTGGTCATTTTACTATAAATATGCATTTTTATACTTTTATAGTGTTTTGTTTGGGGCTTCACTATTTGCCCATAGCTGGGACCCTAACAAGTTGCTACCACCCTGGGTCAGGGTGAACATGGGAACAAGTTAGTTTTTATAGACAAATTCTTCACTTCCTTAAGTTTGTTATATATAAGAATCATCATAATATAAGTTCTTGTTCCTTCTTTCCTTTCTTCCTATTCCGTTTTGATTGTGTGGAAAGATAAAAGACTTATCAGAGATGCTACTTGGTTTCAGTAAAAAAAAATAAAGAAAGCTTAGTGGATAGATGTGTTTAATGTCTCCTGCTAATACCTCATAAATAATGGACTATTCCGTTCTGATTGCATGAGAATATAAAAG